GGCCAAACAAAGTATTTTCGCTTTTGCAACGAAACACACAGCGTCTTCACAACATGGAGGCGGAGGTGGCAGCAACAATAAAGTTACGCATTCTGTCTTTGCGTGAACATTTGGGCGGCGTTATGCAAATCTTCCCAGATAGTGACGTTAGGTGAAGAATCAATCACCTCACAGCAACCGCAAAGGCTTAGTAGCATCAAAGATCCCTCAAGGTTTCAGCAATGTATTTTTTCAGTCACGAGCTCAAAGACATGTTAGTTCTCTTGCTTGCTTTCAATATCTCTAACTGTCAAGCTATATATATATATATATATATATATATATATATATATATACACACACACAAAAAATTGGTCTTCTGTGATGCTATCAGAAGCGCTTTTCATGTCAAGGTCAAAAAGACACATGATGCTTGTGTTGAGAAGTTCACTGAAGTCCTGACATGAGTCATGTGAAAGGGCCTTGTAGATTCACATAACAACAACATTGAAACGGTGCGAGTCTAGAATCATGTTTCTCCTCCCCCACTGACAGCACACTACAACACGCGTGTCTGTGTGCATGCCTGTCTTTAGGACAGCTAGCCCTTCAGAAAAAACACTTCAGAAAAATAGAGAAAGAGATAGAGAGAGCAAATGCACTCTAAAGCCTTCGCACACAATGTCCTTCCTCCCACATTATGTTCATCCTGTATCAGACAGGAGTTCTTCCATTACCAACCCAGACTCACTGAAAAAACGTGCCTGTTGTGACATTTCTGCAAAGTAATATTACACATTTTGCAACATTTTCAAAGTGAAATGTCCTGTGAGTGTATTGCTAAAAGCATGTTCAGTTTTACCTGAAACAGATGAATGTGAATGTGGCAAGGTTTTATTACATTGGTTGTTGTACATATTGCAGCAGTTCAGAAATGTAATGTCCGAACAGTGGCGCAAAATGCTTTTGAAATCGCATTTGAAAATATTGTACTACCTACAAACAAAAGCAAACATGAGATAAAATTGTTTTAGCTTGATTCTACGTGTGTTTGAGTCAGCACTGTGACTCCTGTTTCACTGGACTCATATAAGCACGTACCAGGTGAGATACCAAGCAATTTTACTACATCAGAAAAGCCATACATATGGAGCTGGTGATGCAAATGCTAAAATGTATTAGGTAAATGTGTTTTGTGTTCATAACATAGTAATGCAAGGAATTGGAAACTGTGGTGAATTGTATGTATATGTACGTTTTTGGAGTTTTGGAGGCACGTTTTTTTCATTACACCCCAAAAACAAATAGGATTGTGCACACACACACATTCTCCACAGTTAAACCTAGATTTGCATCTATGTGTTCTCTCTCATAAAGACCCATCTAAAGGGAGAAGAAGGTGTACTCTGTGTGAAGAACGTCAATACCAGCACTCTCTAAAGGTCAATGTCAGTCGTTATCATCTGAACGTGTTGACACTGATAATGATAAATCATTTGAGGTGAACGCACAACAAACGGGGAGATTCTTTTGTGCCGGAGCCACTGAGAGTTAGCCAGTGCTTTGAACCATTAACTAAAGTCCACTGAGATCCAAAACGTCTCATTTAAATAACCCAGTTGATCAAAGGTTGTCGTTAGAAAAAGGCACACTAGACTGTGATTTTACACTAATGTACTCTCTCAATATACAGTACAGGACAATCACTGGTTGGGCTCAGATGATTCTTACAAAGCCTCAAGCTGACAGAGACTAACATGTGTTATAACAAGCCAACAGTGAATAAATCTATTCATCATTTTAAATAAATGCATTAGCATTACTTTCTCATGCAGAACTGCAGAAGAGGCATTGAAAAGAGTTGAAGACAATACAAAACTTCAATCGTAACACATTTAGCGTTCATGATTGTGGCATATTTCTGAGTAAAATGAGTTAGACTTAGTGAACATAGGCTGTGATGTTATTGTTAGGTTATTACAAAACTAAATCTTTTTTCAAAGAGGGAAAACATATTTAGCTATAAAATTGCAGGGTGGGACTCAGTGAACAACAATAGTCTAGGATGCAATTGATTATATTTATTACACTGTTATTATACTGTTGTTACCTAGTTATTACATTACAAAATTGTTCAATAAGTGAAATATTCAGCTAGAAAAAAAAATTAGTAGGATGGGACTTATAAAACTTTTCCCCCACTAGAATAACATGCGCTCATGAATCGTGCATAATAAAATGACTGACAAGTGTAAACATAAGGCAGTTTGGGCTTCATGTCATCAGGGGGTTTGCATTTCATGTCATCGGGTCACTTGGATTTCACATTGATTGTATTTCAGGGTTTTGGCAGGAGTTTTTCGCTTTTACCTCTGCCTCCGGAGGGCACTGTTGCCACGTCGTCAATGCCAGGAATACTCATGCTGAGGCCAGTGTTCACTAGATGCCCTTCAGTAGGCTTCAGTCGCCAATTCAAGCCAAGCAGATTAAGAGCTGTGAGGGAGAGAAAGAGAGAATTAAAAAATAGAACATGACACTACATTACACCTCCCAACCACTTTATGTATACATGGATGACACGTCCTGACAGCCGAGAGCCTGCGACACCCATACAACTATAACTCTCGCTGACAGAGGAGACTGTAGCATACAAATACACTCATTATAGCCAATGACACTTTGACTACAGTCTGTGCTTTGTTTGGGCTCCGTGCCCAGACAGGTTTAGTTGGACCAAGTTTAATCCAAACTGCTACAGGAATACTAAACTTGCCGTAGATATGAATATGTCACCAGAAGCTGGTGGCACATAAGCAACACAAAATTTCAAATGCAACAATACGGTGTCAGGAAAGAAGTGACACTTATCTTGGTATTGCAGAGCAAGGCGTGAGAGGACAAGAAAATTGTCTTGGAAAAAAATAAACTGAAGACAGTTTAAAGTTGGTGACAGATGCCAAATATTCTCAACACTTCCTTGTTTTTGTGTGTGCGCTAGAGAAAATTTTGGCTAGCCGCCCGCTTCTCTCCGCACCCCATATGTAGTATAATCAGTGCTTCCAAGACTTTGCAGCTCCAATGGAGATCACTCGATATGCAATATTCAAATATGTCAAGTCGTGTTTAAGAAATATGATAATGATCAGAGAAAGTTAGTTTTGCGATGTGCTGGTGGAAATTACGAACGAGATGCCCCAAGGGAAAACAAGCACAGCCATACGCTCACAGACGCACACATAAAAATTTTGCAGGAAAACGCTGACGTTCGCAGAATCAACCATAACACCTCACCTCCGCCCCCTAGCTCTTCTATCCCTCCCTCAATCTCATCCACACAAAATCAATGCCAACTCAGTCTTTCCCTACCTCCTGATTGTACATCTGAGGGCACGTTATCAAAAGAAAAAGAGGGGTCAAAAGAAAAAGCTGACTCCTTCAGGCTGTCAGCTGCTCTGATGTCATCTAGTCATTGTCCCACACGCATTATTCCTCATCTTATCTCTCTATACTCTAATCAGCCTTATCTCTCACTCGTTCATTGTTCTTTTCACCTTTCTCGTGTCCTCCATCCCTCCTGCTTTCTCTTCGTCCATTTCATCGCGGCGCTCGCTGACAACGGTGGCCTGTTATGACCTGAGACATCTTGTCGCACTAAGCAGTGCTGTGGAGAAACTCTCTAACATAATGTTTTATTCCTCTGCATGCTGTTGGTTGAATTCAAAGCTGAAATTGCAACATAAATGCAAATATTTCATTATATTTTAGTATTATTCTAGATGTTCACAAATTTTTTAGATGGTTTAAGCAGCAAGAAACTAAAGATCCTGTTTACATCTTAAAAAATAAAAAATAAACAGATTATTGCAATTCAGTATGTAATTCAATGTGTTACTTGCCATTTTCTTTGTTATTGTTTGAAATTTACTAGCAATATCTGAGTGATTTTTTTTTTTATGTAATTGAAAGTAAATAAAAATAATAAAATAAAATAAAATAAAAGGTGAATTTTCTCTCACAATATTGCAATGTGACTTTATTGGTCCTATTTTAACAATCTAAGCGCATGGTCTGAAGCGCAAGGCGCAGGTGCACTTAGGGTGTGTCCGAATCCACTTTTGCGAGTTTAACGATGGGAAAAATGGTTGGTGCACCCGGTGCATTAACTAAAAGGGTTGTCCCTATTCTCTTAATCAGTAATGGGTGTGTTTTGGGCACAACGTGCAATAAACCAATCAGAGTCTCATCTCCCATTAATAATAATAATGCAAAATAATAATCTTTTACATTGTAATCCTTTAATTTTTAATATTTGGCATGTTTGAGGGCTGCTGCGCATCCCTGTGTATAAAAAGCAGTGTACACACGTTGTGGACCCGCCTATAAGCGCATATTACTAACGCACTCTTTACATAACAAAAAAATACTGCGCCATTGACTTTAGACCTGGTTTTAGTTGGTCTATGGCGCAGTCTATTTCAGTTGCCTCAAAATTGCAATGCACCTGAACACACCTGGTTTTCATTCCAGCACGCCCATGGGCGAACAAATGGGTGCAAATGCATTTGCTATTTAAACAACGTGGCGCAGGACGTGAAAATGATAACTGCGTCGAGCTGAAACTAGCAAAAAACACTTAGACTGGTGCCGCATTGTGCAGGGTGTATGATAGGGCCCTGTATCTCAAACTATTACATTATATTCCGCAATGGGACTTATATCTCACAACGTGACCTTGTGACTTCCATGTGAAACAGATGTATGTTTTCCCCTTATAATAGAGAGTTGCATTCATGGCTCAGGTGATCGGCCACAAAAATATGTTTGTGGAGTTCTTTTTAAGCAAGATTCCAGTCTCCAGGTCGTATGCTTACAGGGCAGCAAGTACAGGTGAACAACAGCTATTGAAATGAAATGCTAACGGATTGCTCTCCTCACATTTATTAAACCTTTTTGAATTCAATCACAAAAGAAAAAAGTCACTCAACCTTTAAATATCACTGAATATCATTTTAGCATCAGGTTTTCTTCCAGTGCAGCAAACATGGTCAACATAACGAGATTAAAGCATGGTTTCAATACAAAGTGGAGGATGAATCGCAAATTATTTTCACCATAGTGAGAAAACAAATATTAAAATCTGGATTTATGTTCAGACGAACCTCTTCAAATGTCTGACCCAATTAGTTTCACAGGTTTTAAACAATATATTACAATGAATTCATGTAAGGTATGTCGCTACCTCATGAATTTAAATATGTTCAGCCATTTCAACAGCATGTTTACAAGTTTTCATTTGCTGCAAATGTGTTAACAAGGCAACTATTTGTCAACAGAGGATATTCAATTAACAGTAACCACAGTAACAGTGGAATAAATAAATACAATTAAAATAATTAAAACATTAATTTACATACTGCAGGTTCATTCAGCATCCATCTAGAGAAAAACACTCTGACAGCACAGGAAATATCTTGATATTTTTGGTCTTCTGTGGAAGAATGGGCCCGGTTATGGGTCAGGTAAGGGCTGCACACTGCTCTCATGTCTGGCAGCATTGGCATTACATTAGTGTCAGTTTGCACTTTTTTTTGCTAATCAAATCTGGAGGAGATCTTCAACAAACTAATTTTCGGTCTGCAAAATAAGCATTAATTATTAAGAGGAAATGTGTTAGATGTGAAATTCATGAGATGCTGCATCTCACTTTATGTAATCTCTATGTATAATTCACCTCTTCAAAGTGATGAATAATATTACCTACCTAAAGCATGGAGAGAGAAACAGGAAGAAAGAGAAAGAGAGAGAGAACAGACGGGGATACAGATGACAAAAGTATTCCCTTGTCTTGCCTGAGGAAGTCTGCGTCTTCAGACTGGAGTTATTCTCGGATTTAAAAGCACACTGAGAAAATGAAATCTATAACCGACATGAGCTGCAAAACTTATTTCACTGAGCTGTACCAGCTGAGTTGGTGCTGACAGCAGCACTGCAAAAGTGGAACTCTTTCTTCAGCTATCCATTTTGAAAATAGAACCGTAATACATTTTTGACCTAATGCTTACATGCGTCACATGTTCAGTTTAGGGTTAGAGTGACTTTCAACTGACTCTGTTTCCACTAGAAGTTCTAATGCACTGACACTTTAATATGAATCAGACTTGTTTTTTATCTTTGCATTCATTTTAATGACATAACCAATTGGGTTTACATTAGGGATGCACTGAAAACGTATGGCAAATATGATAAACTTGCGATTATTTTTAAAGTATGGTTAATATCCACTACTGTTACAATATTTTGAGGTCAGTTTTTTTAAATTGATTAATTGATAATCATTTTGAGATTGGTCAGTCAGAGTTGGTACTCTGCACTAATGATGCTGCAGGAAGACTGATATCCTTACATTATTGTACTCTTTACCAAAGTGCACGTATTTTAACATCCAAACCCAGAACTGCTTTTACACAAAGTGTGTGGCTTTTTAAACCACTGGCGGTCCACGAAGGGCCTCTCAGAGATCTGGCATGTGTTCAGTGTATGAAGATGCTGCTGATGTGATCCATGAGAAGCGCTGACCTCAGGCATGACCTTGAACATCAAGCCACGAGTAAGTCAGCTGATCTCCTTCGTGAGCTCACGTTTGCAGAATGACTGCAGAAGAGAGCTGACTCACCTCTGACAGCATGAGAGATGCTTGGAAATTGAGGACGACACTAAACAGATAGTGCTGTCATCTTTATGAAACAACTATACGTGGTCGTCGTGCTGCTGAGGTGCTCTGCGGAAAGTCTCTGGAGGCTTGACAACATGTGTGAAAGTCTGTTGGAGTGCATTACTGTATTATGATTTTGCTCTGCATAGAAGCCACATCAAATGGCTGTGGTTTCACAGATAAATCAAGGGAGACATCATGTGCTTGAATGGTAGTTATTGGTCAGGTGCACAACATGCAGAAGACACATTCTAATTGACATGATGGAGCAGCTGTCCATCACCTGTCTTACTCTAATGTGAAGGAAGGTTTTTAGACCAGAGCTCCATTCTGGAATAACTTTCCTCTCATTTAGGACTAAGTTACAGTGAAATGTGTACTGAATAGATTTGAAAAGGCAGGGTTTTTTTTTCAGTGTAATTAAAATGAAATATATATAATAAAATACAATAAAAAGGTGACTTTTCTTTTACAATACTGCAATGTGACTTCATATTTCACAACGTGACTTTGTGACTTCCATGATTTTTTTTTTTTTTGCATTGTGTAATAACAAAAATAGGAAAAAGACATAGGTAGAGACTTTAAAAAATTTTAAATATTTTTTACTTTGCTATTCAGGGTTAAAACAACAGGGAAAAAATATGTGTCCCTGAATTATCAAAGTTGACAGTACACTTAGTATAGTATACTTGAGTATTAGAGGAGGACGAATGTACAGGAAAAGTAAAAGTTGTAGAAGAGGAGGACGAATGTACAGGAAAAGTTTTTGAAAAGTAAC